ACTATTTTATTATCGAAATTATATCCTCGTTTTAAAATTCGTTAAAAAATTCTCTTCTATAGAGATTCATTAATAACATTTATAGCATCCAACAATGTATGAATTTTCCCTCAAAGAATTGTTTGATCTATAATAATAAAAGCACATTGTTCTATCGTTAAAAAACAAAAGTTAAATAGCAGCTGCACTTCAAGAAAAATTACCTTCAGCACCACGTTTCCCTGTTACCGTATTTAACCCTTCAACGTTTTTAATTGCACTCGGAATAATTCCAGGTGGAAAAATATTAATTTCATTTTTACTACAGAAATAAATGTCTCAGCTGTAGCATTTTTACCGCGTGAAACGGCGCTCTTCTAGCTCCATTACATTCACGCCAATAAAGTTTCCACGATCGGAATATCGTTCTTGAAAAATGCAAATTTTTTGCAATGCTAATTCTGTAAAATTTATTTTTTCTCCTCGTTTGATATATTCATAAGCATCGGGTGTCATGTAGATGATCGCATTCGAATTGCATATCCAGTGTAATAATCGATAGGACATGAATGTCCACGATTCGTAATCGCATGCATCCTGAACCGAACATCATTGTGCTACGTCATTAACACTGCGTTACGAGGCTATAGTAATTAGATAGTATCTCTGATCGATTGCACTTGTAACCAAATCTCTCAACGGACAAAAGCACGACTTGGTACACGATAATGCACTATCGCGGTGTTGCGCCCAGGGCTCGTGCAGCATCGGAACCGGATGTGAGACGATTAATCATAAAAGGGGAAAGATGGTGGAGAGGAGCGGAGAACTCAGGATATTTCTTTCTTTCTTTTTTTTTTTCTAAATAACGTTAGCCACGAAGAAGCCTCGCGGATTTAAGCCGGATATTCGAGGGATCGTCGCGAAGAATATTTGCGCTCACGCCGACACGTCGTCGTTGCACTTTGACCCTCCTTTGCTTCGGCGAGTCCGAAGTGGATTTGCAAAAGGGGCGAAAGTTGCGTCTTCTTTTTCGTGGAAATGTGGCAATTTTGGAAACGAGATTTTGAGAGGGAACTTCGGTTTAGATAGGACGGGACTCGCGGCCGATAGACGATGCATACGAATGCACTTATGAATTTTTACCTCGTTGCAAGGATACCTTGGTGAAGATGCTTCGAGGGAATTCAGTCCGTCGCGTGGGACGTTGCTTCGACGTTCGCCTAAATGGGAACAGTCGTTAAATTACAATTAATTTTCATTCAGAATATTTTTCGAGGACCCAATAGGGCTGTACAAATCAAGTGTCTTATTCACATTTATAGGTTATTCAGAAAAACATTTTTTACTGATATTTATATTTATTTAAGTATGTTATAAACTATTGTCACACATAATGTTTGTTGTGCTCCTAATAATCACAAAAATATTACAAAACAATTACAGTGCACTTTAATCGTGGCACAGCTTCGTACCTTAAAATTAATAATGATTTCTCTAGCTCCTAAGATTTCAATAGCTTCGCTCAATAAACGTTAATAAACATTTCAATCCTGTACCATTTTGATTCTCTTCATCGATAAATATTAAAGAATGAAAGTCTCTTCTGAAAAAATATAAATATGTAGAAAGATAAATTATTCTTGTAGAAAAAGAATGAGAAAGAAAAATGTGAAGATTAAATATATTATTAAAATACAATAAAAATTACTAACTCTGTACAAAAGAATAGCCGTTGGGCATATTAATAATTACTGCGGTCAAGGTTGATTAATGCTCATTTAAAATACATACATTTATCTATGCTTATATTAAGCTACTCTGTTCTTTGGTTTAGATATATTCCAACTATTTACTTTTTACTTTTAATGGATGTTCGACTAACACCACTCTACCCATTTGAAATTATAATTATAAAGACTCTGGAATTAATGAAATTACTAAAAATTTATTTTCACCATTTGAGATCTATTTGTTTTCTTGCATCGGAGAAAAAACAACATCGAATGACTAACAAATGACTAACAAATGACTAACAAATTTTGGCATATAACGAATTACGTGTAGAAAAACAAGCAGTCCAAACACGTTAGAACGATGTCATAAAGTATTCAAAAGAAGACCAACCTGTGTTCTAGATATCGTTGACTCCGTTGTTTGACTTATCGCAGAACAATCACTGAATCGTCGGTATTATTCTGACGCGATCGCTGCGGGTGAAAAAACAAATTGCTAGGCACGAAATTGATTTCCCGCCATTGAATTGCTCTGGCCTACAGTTCAGTTGAAATCTTTCGGCTATGGGTATATGTTTGTAATTGAAATGCAACTGATGGACCCATGAAAAAAAAAGATACCATGAATGAAAGCTATCTTAACCGCGGGGCATCCTTCCGATTTTTCAACTAAAATCGATGCTCGAAGTTCGAATGTCAATCACTCGTTTGCGTTTGTCGTTATGGTGACAGTTATACTTTCGAATATCCAGGGGTGATTTTTAATTTGTGCTGTAGACGTTTTTTTTTTTTTTTCGCAGAATAGTTTAGAATTGGACGCGTTATAGCGATGGGTTTTCCGAAAGGGGCTTTTTTAATAACAGAAACGACTGTTGATATAGTTGTGATGGTTATAGACACCATTATTATTCCATACCATTTGTGTTTCATCAAAAAACAAAATCCTGAAGCTCTTTTTGGGAGAATCTTTATCTTTAAGCGGCGATTAACATCTGATTTCGTTTGTTAATACATTCATAACATCAGAAGGTCCAAGTATACATTTACGTACGAAACTTTGTGATTAAACAATATATATCCATAAATGTTTAATTTATTTCGAATCACTCATCAATTCAGGACCACAAAACTCAATTTTTGTGATATTCAGGGGCTTACATAAATTCCCTTCAAGAATAATTTCCTAAGGAACTTGAATTATTCTTATATAAATAATATCAATTTTATTCTTTCTTTCCTATATTAGAAAATATCATAGAAAATATCAATCGACGTCTCTCGTAGTGGCTCAAAAATATCTCTGTAAATAGTTCCAGGAACAACTTCACATTTTAACTCGTGTAAATATTTAACCAGCAATATTATTTTTTAATCAAACAGAAATCCACTTATGGTAGACGTTCGCGAATTTAAAATTCATGCATCGAGGATCCTCATCCTCTTACCGGTCACGTGTGTAGACATATCGAATAGTCAACGTCCTGAACGTTTCGAGTTTCAGCACTGAAAAAAAAGTGCATAATGTTTTAGTATCGTGCAATCTACCGGCAATTTACACACATTGAAGAGGAAAACCATAGAGATGCACATACGCGGTTAAAAGTATCGATATACCGAGTGTATCCGACCATTGAAGCAGCGTTAGGGCCACTCATGGAAAAATAAAGTGAAACTGTAAAGTTAAAAGTTTACGCAATGTCTTAAGCCGTAACACTTACGATCTATATGGTAATACGCGGCCTGAATGGTCTCGAAGTGTGCGTGCGAACCGCGGGAAAATGTTTATGCTAAATGCACTTGTCTACTTTCATTGCAGCGCAGCGTACGTGGCGAGCGAAGAGAGTAGCTACAAATAGCGTTGGCGATGAGTAATCTTTCTATGGTTAAATTCCTGTCGTGACGATCCTTGTACTATTTACGATAGTATCGCGAGTAGTTCGAACGCTATTTCGATTACAGTGTTGTACAGAATTGGGGCACGATTATTTGTTTATTTTGTGTGTCTAACTTTGAAGAAGGTATAGTGGTTGTGCTGGTTTTAATCTTACTTTGCAATAGTAAAAGATGCAATATAATATCACAATAGGACATTACAATTTACAGCATAATATAACAAATATAAATAATAATATATGTTTTACAACAGTAGCAATATTAATCCGTGTTAACTTCATGATCCCTTTGCAAGTAGAATCGGCAGATTATAGGGAGACTTGATCGTAAAGATATATTCGAGTTCGGGAGTAATGGCTTTTTAAAAATTCGTTTCGTATCGAAAACGAGCTCGTATTTCATTTTAAACTTTTGATATATTTTTTAGCGAGAAATAATTTATTTTTCGATTTCATTGAGAGGTACACTTTATACTAAAATTTATATGTAGAATAAATAATTTTCCGAAATTGGGCGTCTAGGGAATTTCATGCGCAACAACGATGCGTTCGTTTCACCATTTTGTTGAAAATATAAATGGAAAATTACAATATTACTGAGTTAAGGTCACGTAAAATTAATAATTATGACACGATGGTGATTTTCCTATGTATACAAAATAGAGTGCTTTAAATTCTAACGTTTTAATTCAAAGTCTTTTAATTTTATGATGTATATATAAACCATCCAATTGTGTCAGTGCTGTTATATTGCAGTAAAACAGGGGAACCTATTTTTTCTATAGAAAGTATACAAGGTGACAAGTAAATACGTGTAATCATAATTTTTAATTTAGCTGTTAATAAATAGAAAGTTATCCGAAATAGGGTTGTTCAAGCTACAAGAAATTTAAAATAATTGCAATATTTCATATTCAACGTAAAACGAGCCTCATTGCTGTAAATTTCCACCAAAAATCTGTGTTTTAAATTGGCATTGTAACATTTTCATATATGTCGAATTAACATATGAAAAATTTCATCCGAAAAATAATAAAGGCTATAATTGTCTGTACTCAAAATCCTGAAGTTTCTTTTGAAAACTCCTGTACCTAGACTCTTTTCCATGTGGCTAGCATGAGAGATGGCTCTCTGTGCAAGCCTCGCGCGATGTTATGTAGCTTATATCTTAAGTCAAGCAATCCTATGGACACGTTCCAAGTTTCGTCGCGATTCCTCTCCAGCGGTTTCCTCGTAGCGTGAAAACAAACAAACGCGAGTGGGTCTTATTTATACAGATAACTGACTATTCCTCTACGTCCCCGCGTACCTACACCCCGCGTCTAATTTTATTCGAGCAATTATCGATGCACTCTCCACGCGTACACAATGTATTTTATGCTTTTTGTTTCAGACACCAGTGAGTACGAGATCGACGAGTCTCCCCGCAGCGACGTGAGTACCCGCCCGTTAACGTAACCGAATTTAATTGATACCGAACCGGCTTGTTTCGCATGTAAATACGAACTGAAGACAGATTATAAATCATGGGACTTTAACATCCCGCTAATGGACGCTTTTACGATCGTTCATTGCCGCAAAGTGCGTCATAAAGAACCTAATGAACGTCATCTGCGCCGGATGCTATCTTTATAAATTTTGCGCCAGGTAGCCTCACACAGTTGTTCCATTTTACCGCGGTCTCGTGTTTCGCTATGTTTAGTCACCTCGTGTTTTCCTCGCGCTCTATCAGCGCGGCGAAATTTTGTGACAAGCAATCCGCAGTCGCGCGACAAACCGACAATAACGCTGGGCGAATCAGTTGTAACGACGTTCGGTCCGAAAATGAACGTTGATTTCCGAGTTTTCGTTTCATCAGACGCTAGCGGTGTCAAACTACGCGGTAAATGGGCCATTTGGGAAACGAGCAATTTTTCGAACGGTAGAAAAACAAAAATGTCGCGCTGGAAAGCATTCTTCATGCGAGAACGCTCGAATAAATATCGTCCCCGTTCGAAACGGTTTCAAGAATGGATAAATAAAAATACTTTCGTTTCGGGGATTACTGAGTTTAAAATGCGCTTTCCGTATATCGCGGTAGGCTTACAATGTTATTTTTCTATCAAACAACTTTACTAGGTTGAATAGTTTTTTTACAACGTGAATTATAGTTTAGCTCCTTATAGGGGTATTTTTGTAGGGCCATGGAGTGAAAATATTTTTGAATATGAAGATTTTTAAAGTGAAAGGGACATTAGGCTCATTAGAAGAAGAATTAGACCACTAATACTTGATAGTTATGATGAACGTTGATGTGTATCATTTCGATTTAATCTAAAGTTTATAAAATTATTTTTAACATTGTTTTTTTTATTTTTCTTACATACAGGCTTGAACTAAATAAAATAAGTAATGCGTAAACACGTATTTATTGCCTTCTACTTTTAAATAATTATATTTCATAACCGTATTCATCATAACATGACAGAATTTATATAACGTAGACAAAATTAGCTTGGTTTACATGTACTTATAAATATAATGATTTTATATAATCAGGTACGAATTAATCGCTTTAGAGGAGGATTTTTTTAACGATTTTAGCCTTCTAGAAATTTTCAGAAGTATTGCCCTTTAATGTGCTGAGAGAGTATGCTAGTGGAGATATCCCCTCATTAGCTAAAGTTGAAATGAAACGTGACATTTAAGATAATTAAGCGACCCTGATTAATGGTCGATGCTGCTTTCCTGTCCGACTTTTCGCGCGTAAGAAGACGTAATTGTTGTCCATGGAACGAACGGAAAATTTCCATACCTACGGAAATGAAAAGCGACGCCCGACTGGATGACCTCCATCGAGTTTTTGTCGTCTATGTTTGGATCTCTTCGACGCTCGCAAAAAGATCGTTAGTGGAATCTAGAAATGGTATACCCATGAGGCTTATCGATTCTAATTTACCGGAAAGTCATTATCTTGTAAAAAACTACCACTTCGCTCCATAATATCGTCTGTGATTCGTGTCAAAGATAACATTTCTCGCTGTGTGAAATATTCATTAATTGTTACGACCCTTGACTCGTTAATTTTGGACAATTAATTTCGACGTTGAGTTTCAAACATGTCGACGAGGTTTCTAATGATGAGTGTTCTTGGCGAGTTTTTGGTTTAATTGTAAGTTTCAAAAATGAATTGTTTAATTATTTCATAGTTTTTATGCGAAGTAGGTAAATACTTTAAGAATATATAAGAATATTGTATTTTAAATGAATCCTGAAATTGTGTTTTAGGCTTTGTGTCTGTTAAATTATTTCTTCATGTAAAAAGATAAAGAACAAGTTTATGTAATATTCGTATGTGAAATTGAATTCTGTTTAAGAGTTACTTAAAGCATTTTTTTCGAAATGCTTCGTAATATAAAAATTCATGACAGAGCCATTAGGGACTCAATCATAGTAGTTTGTGCTTTTGGTATAAGAACACGTTTTGGCAGAGTCAAATTAATCAAACTATAGATCATTTTACGAAACATATGGCCACGTGGACTACCAAACGTACATAAACTTTTACTCATTATACAAGAATACGTACTTATCCTAAAATCTAAACTAATATAAGACCTTTCTACATGCTTTCCTTTTCGCAATTTTTCTTTTTACTGTAAATGCCAAAATATGCTCGATAATTCTTTTTTTCACCGTCCGGTTCGTGTTTCATTCAATTTGCGTCATAAAAATACATTTCAGCATCGTTTCATGAATAGTGATCATTCGAGTACTCGTCGCGATCATCGCGTGGAAACGAGCTGCCGATGAATTGGTCAACGTTCGACCGAGTAAGTTATGTTCAGGTGACCACCCGCGAACGGACGAATATTTACACGGGATTGTTAATGTTTACTGCGTCGCGCGCACACTGCGTCGTTATTGCAGAAATGACGTGAATAATTGGCGGAGTAATGCGCCCGCTGAGCTGCATCCAAATTGTTCGACGATAATAATTCTTGTAAAATGAAATAAAGTCGAAATCGCTTCGCCGGATAAATGTGGAAGTTAAAGTGGTGAGATTTAACACCGTTTAAGGAAAAAGTGAGACCTGATAATTGCTAAAGGGGATACAACCATGGGAAGCAGTCATGGAAGTTGAAAATTTTTATCTAAAAATTTACACTGAAATTTTAGACAATGATAATGTAATGAATTATTTGGTAGTGTATCTGGTTGGTCAAGTTTGGTTAACTTAAAGTGTAATGAATTTACAATATGAATATATTTAACCATATTGTGCAATAAATGTAAGCAACTTTGGTCTTGGACATATTTGTTTGATATTTTTGACAACTCCAATTTCAGAATCGACACAAAACTTGTACTTTCGCAATATTTGATGTTCTTCTTTGATTATTCTGATGCGATTTATGCAAAACCAATCTGAACTACTTTTTACACACTCACACTCGTATAGAACACTTTAAAAGGGGAAATAAAAATTGATCTTATTAAACGTATTATACATTATTACATATTAAATGTATTATTAACATTTAGTATAAGCGTTACACAAAAATATAATAAATTCCTTACACTTCAAATCGACCAAACAATGCACTTGAACAATCACATGCACATTACCAAATACACCATCCACCTACTACACTGAACCGATGTCGATGTATCCTGCAACAGTTGAGACCAAGAAAACCCATCGTTAGTCCAATAGGTCGCCTTAATATTCGACTTGATATGCATCGTTGGAGCGTTACACAAATTGTATATCCTTAATTTTCATGAGCCCTTCTGTCTTTCATCGAGTCGTTTCCGTCATTTTCGATTGTAACGAACCCGGTGGGAAGAGGCTTTTCACCCAGACAGCGACGAAAGATGGATTTACGAGGCCAAAGCATCGAGTGGACCATTAAATCGTAGCTCGAGCAATTACATCGGTCTCCCCGTGTCTGATGATGTTGACTTAAGCCACGCTCTCAACGCGATCGTCAAAGATGCCGTTTATTATTCGCGATGTTCAGAAGCGATACAAGGAAACCGGCCTTTACCTTGCTCGAGTGCTTAAGGAGTCGAACGAGTACTCCGAGATTATTGGACGCGGACGACGAAGGCGTACCGTCGTTATTAGTAGAAACAGAGTCCGCGGCTGGACGCCGGTTGAGACAATGTCTGTCTTATTTGGAATTGAAACGAGTAATTTGAAAGGTTTTAATGATCAGCCGGTGGAAGGGAGGGTTGAAATTGGAGCGTCGTAATTGATTTCCTTTGGTCGTGCTTGCACAAAGACGAAGCTCTCAAGGAAATCCATGATAGGAAGTGAACAAACACGGGGAGGGAAGTGAGTTAAGGGAAATCCTCGCGGGTGTCTTGTTAGGTTCTGAAAGTTCGATCTGCTTGGCGAGGGGGTCCGGACCTACGTTTGTATAACATTTTCTCCTTGACGTTTCTTTCACCGGTGCGTATTGCTACGATTTCATCGGTTGACTTTGGGACCACCCTGTAGCGTTCAAAATTCAAGAGGGTAACTTGTAATGTGTTATACGATGTATTTAGCAACTTTGTGGCAATTGGGGTACCGGTATCGGAATAAGATTTACTTTTCGTCTCTGGATGTGAAGTTTCCTTAGAATATATCACGTTCATCGAATAAATTACCAGTTCAATTTATGAAATCATTTAGAAATTTATACGAAGATAACTGCAGAAATTAAGATGATAACAATTATTTAGTTCCCAAGAATGTATCATTAAAGAAAAGTCGATTCAACAATTTCGAGGCTTGGCTCCAGGTATCTTATTTTCACCTGATACCGTTCTCATATATGCAATAACAGGAAACTAAATCTACTAACAATAATGTTTACACGGTATTAATACTCCAACAGAGTCTCCACACAGATCAAAGTAACATCCCCGTTTCCAAAATTGATATATCAATATCGAAAAGTACAAGCTACCCCTCAAGTTCATCGTAGCAGCCTCGAGCGATTTTCATGCAATAAAAATAACCGATCCGTGGCCCAAGGAGTACCAACCGTAACTTCGGTGCACCCTCGTCCGACCTCGAGGTCCTAGAACTTTATTTTCGATAATTTCCCGTGCCCCCTTCGTCGCCACGAAACGATCCTTCAAGAGAAATCCACTTTCGGGCTCTCTTTTCTTCCGTGGCGTCGGTACACGGTCGCCAGCTCTTGCTGCCTACTCAGCTGCGGTCAGTTTCAGTCGAAAGGAAGTTGTCATCCGAAAGAGTCCCGCAGGAAGGACCTCCATTTTCCACGACGGTGGCAAAGGGTGCGAGCACGGAGTGGTGTGACGCCTGGGGAGGTCTGGAAGCACCCACGGACGCTATTCAGCCGTAACAAAAGGCAATCACCATAGAAGTGGTAGAACTGGGACCAGCCGTCATAAGTTATCGGAATCACGTCGATATTTTGCTGAGAATTTCGACGAGA